GGCTTCATATGTGAGTTCCTCAAGGACTTTTGTCTGTGTAGAAAGCTTTTGGAGATTGAAGAGTTTTCCATCAGTTCTGTAATTTATATAGATGCTCTTCTGAAAGTTGACAATTGTGTAATTCAGAATGGCTGTGAAGAAGAGACCAAAGAGGACCGGTGCCAGAATGTAGCTTTGTTTTGACAAGCAACCATCTGAGAGTACTTGACCATGTCTTCATGGAATTGATGTAAGATATTAACGAATTATGTGGGACAGCCAAACTTTTATAGATTTTTTCAGAAGCCATTTCTGCTCACAGTGTCAAACACTTGTTACACAAAAGACAAGAGAAATACAGCTGGAGACATGTATCCACTATATACTTAATTTTGCACATATGCATGCAAAACTTTCAGTGACAGACACATTACATTTACTGCACATACGGATGTGCCATGACACTTTTAGCAAGTCTTGCACCGACTACCTTGCATGCCTGAGGTGGTCCAGAATGGTGTCCTCCATGCAACACGACCTTGCATGTACAGTATGTGCAAGGTCATGTTGTGCGGAGGACGCCACTTTGTTCTACAAAATGGTGTTCTTCATGGCAGCCAGATGGAATCATCCTGCAGGCTGCCTGTTGAACAATGCACAGCTGATTGGGCATGCACAGATGGCAAGCCACTGATTGCACAATATTGTAATTGTATACTTAAAATATATACTGTATGCAAAAGTACACATCAAGGCTCTATGAACCTGAACTTCACTGTGAGAAAGGGAGGAGCTCATGTGGGGGACCTCTGGGAGTCTTATTCCTACAGAAGCCAGGAGCAGTGATAATACCTCGAAGGGTGGTAAGTGTGCTTACCTATGGGATATGCGACACTTGATGGGACAGCATGTGCTTCTCTCAGTGCTACAATACATCAATTAGCTGGTGCTCAGGAGGAGCAGAGCTATAACCATTCCCCACCGGGCTTAGGCATACCTCTGTGGAGCACTGCCAGCAGTGTTAGCTAGTCTCCCTTCCCCCTTGCACTCCCTAGCCAAATTATGGCTTCCCCTCTATACAAGAACACAGATGGAATGGGGCTCACTGTGACTCTTTTCCCTCTGGTAACAGCCATTATACATCCATAATTTTGCCACCAAGATTTCATCATGCTGGAGTAAATTCCATAAAGCTGTTAAAGGTTTTACAGATAGCAATAGAAAATTATTGCTGAAATATGTTTGGCAGATTAATATATTTTACACAATTGCCTATAAAACATATAGAACGGTATCAACAGATGAATAGCAATGAACTTCATTATGTTTAGTGCTTTATATTGATGTTTCCTGGATATTGTAATCTGTGACCCATCATTGCACTGTGCACATATAAGCCAATTCTTGCATGGCAAAGATACTGAGGTAAACTTCCAAGCTATTTTCCTATAGTCATCTCACTGGTGTGGTGGGGATAAAATAATAACATAACTCCTTGCAGGTCACTTTATAAAGGTTTACATTTGCACTGTTTTGAGGGACCCTCCAACATTCTCAAAACTTTCTGAAATAACAAAAATTAGGCAAAATGCAACTACCAATTTTAGTAGTTGGATGGAAGAATAATTATTTTACAATACTATGCATGCTTTTTATAACAACACAAAACTCTGATTGGAAACAGTCAGCAGACTAGCAATAGAGTCGTGAGTAATAAATACATAAACCAGGCTTCAATAACTATAACTCAGTCAATTGTTAGATTTTTTTAAATTTTATTTATTTGTATTACCATAGTACATAGGAGCCCCAGTCTTGGACCAGGAACCCATTGTGGTAGATGCTGTACAAATGTAGAAAAGACAGTCCAGTTTAGGGCCTGATTCTGATCTCTCATCAGTTTTACACTAGTATGACAATTTATTTCAATGGAGATACTTCAGATTTACAAAGATTTTAGGCCTCTATCTTGTAAACACTTACTCATAAGAGTAACTTCAAATCTGTGAATAGACTCATTCAGGTCAATAGGATTCCCCCCTGCATGCATAACCCAAAGTTACTCATGTGCTTTCAGGGTCTGAGCTTTACTGGGAATAACCAGCAAACCTTCACTTTTGCTGGGCCATGATCTTGCAAATACTTGTGCACATATGTAACTGTGTTTCTAGGAGTAGTACCATTAACTCACATTCATAGAGTGTTCCATGTGCATAAGTGTTTGCACAGGATTGGTCTCTTAGTCCTTATTCTTGTGAGTAAGGGCTGTAAAACCAAGTCCATATGTCATAAAGTAGTTGGACTTTACTGTTTACCTTGACCTTTTAGGTCACCTACTAGTTATCATGAAATCTAATAAATTCTGTTACAAGTTGAGTTTACGAAAAAGTAGTTAGAGAAATCAGCAAGTAGTTGAAGTCTAACTATTTAGATTGTTTAAATAAGATTTTATTAAGTCTAATATTTATTAATATAATATTTTCATTTAAAAACCCATGATATAACAAAAAACAACCGCCATCATATACACACTACTAAAACATTGTATTTATTTGTATTTAAACATTTCTGTGCAATGTTTACAGTCCAAACACAGAAACAGTGCTCTAGTTAAAGAGCACCAGAAAGTGAAACTGACTAGTTTGTTTTCATTGTTCAAGCCAAACGTCCAAAAAAAGTGAACAAATGGTGAAAAGTAAATTAGATTTTTTTAATTTGGTCAATTTCAATAAGGAATATGTTGATAGTAACACAAATAAGGATTTTTAAAATAAACATATATCATGATTCTATTGTTTCCAATAGCTAAGGCTGAAACAAGCTTTTAATTTTACGTCTGCTTAAGACACCTCATTCATAATTGTGCCAAACCAAGAACAAGACACCTTGAATTTCACAGAGATGACCTTATGTCAGGGTAGGATAGAATATTTCTGGAAAGTCTAATGGAACTTGGCAAGATTTTTCTTTTCTTAACAGTTTAGATACTTCAGGTTTGATTTAGTAGGTTTGTCTTGGTAGGTATTGGTGTCTTTATTTGGAGAGAAAGATTTCTATAGTCGTTAAAAGTTTTATGTCCAAGCACAGCTAGAGCACTGTGGTGTTCTGCCAGTTTCTGTATGTTAGGTTAGTATCAATAAGATTGCAGCTTGAAATGACTATCAGAATGAGAGTATTTATCAGGTACTAGTATTGAACTCATTAATGTAGAGGCTGACCACTTAATTAGGTATTTTCTTAATTTTGAGAGTCAGAGATAAAATTATCCTGAGCTTTGTTTGTGGTTTTCAATGTCACTAAGGCTTGTCCATACACAGAAGTTGCACTGGTTTGCCCAAAGAGGAGGTGATGTACTGATTTAGTTAAACTGGTGCAGTTCTGATTATGATCTCTCTTACATTCATTTAGGCTTTGTCTACACTAGCACTTTTGTCAGCAAAACTTCTGTTGGTCGGGGATGTGGAAAAAACCACCCCCGACTGACATAAGTTTCACTGACAAAAGCGCTGGTGTGGACAGCGCTATTTTGGCTGGAGAGAGTCTCCCGCCAATGTAGCTACTACCGCTCGTTGGGGGTGGTTTAATTATGCTGGTGGAAGAGCTCTCTTCCGCTGGCATAGAGCGGCTACACAGGAGACCTTACAGCAGCAGTACAGCAGTGTAGACATACTCTTAGACTTGCCACTGTTATTTAACAAGCTGAGGGTTGTCTACACTTCAAATGCTACAGAGGTGCAGCTGCACCTCTATAGCGCTTCAGTGTAGACACTACCTACACTGTTGGGAGAAATTCTCCCATCACCCTGGGTAATCCATATTCCCCAAGAGATAGAGGCTAGGTTGATCAAAGAATTCTTCCATCGACCTAGTACTCTGTCTAAATGGAGATTTAGGTTGGCTTATGTCACTATGCCACTAAGGCGTGTGGATGCTCTTATGGAGACCATCCCTAAGTTTCTATACTCACAGTCACACAAATCACTGCATCATTTCACCTTTAGTTAAACCAGTGCAAGGTGTGCATAGGACAAGTTTCTGGCTGTTGTCAAGGTGATGATACACCTGCAGAGCAGAAGGTTGGTTGGGTCATGGTTATTGTGCATTTCCATACACTTCAATTTTTATTTATTTATTTTTTGAATACAGGGGGCCTTTAGCCTCAACCTTCAAAGTTAGGTTGTGTGTGTTTGGAGAAGGCCACCTTATTTTCAAAACCTCCCTCACCCCAGTGACAGCAACTTTTTAAACCTTAACTCCAGATTAACCCATGTGTGTGTGTGTGTTAACAAAATATGTAAGAAACCAGTTTCTAGCCTGTTTAAATTGAGCAAGGTAAAAAACGACCTTGTTGCCATCATTGGCTGGCAGGTAATTGAACATCTTGGAGCAGGAATGCTGGAAAACAGCGAGAGAAGAGGAAAGGGAGACAAGCGAGTGGAGCAAAGGCAGAAAATCCGAGTGAGTGTCGGGGAAAGGTAAGGACAGAGGGAAGGGGAAAGAGGACAGGATGAAAGCGTGTGTGTGTGTGTGTGTGAGAGAGAGAGAAACTTGCCTCCTCCCCAGCCTGTGTTGCGTTGGGACGATCTAATACTCCCCGCCCCTTGCCCCCAGTTCCAGGCCGGGCAAGAGCAGCCCCGCGGCCGCGGTGAGAGGCACCAATAGCCCTTGCCTTGCCCCGCAGCCCCACGCGTGCTTGACAGGCGGGGAGCCCGCGGCCCTGGCACCCGGAGAGGCAGCGGGACGCGGGGCACGGCCCGGGCCAAGCCCCCCACGCCCGGGGGCTCGCGCTGCCCTCTCTCTCCGCCGCGGACTTTGTTGTTCCCTCGCCCACCGCGGCGGCCGCGCGGCGCATGCGCCAGGCGAGCCGCTTCCAAGTCCCTTTTCCTCCCCCCCCCCGCCCCTTTTGCTCCATCCGGGCACCTCCGAATTAGCATTGACAGCCGTGGCACAACTTTTCCCGAGGCAAAGTGAAATCAAGGCGCGCACTCTGAGGAAAATATAGTCCCTGCCGTTTTAAGTCCCCCCCTCGTCCCCTCCGGAGGGGCGGGCGCGCTGCGGGGGGCGGTGACTCGGCTCCTGGGCGGAGCGGGGGCCGCCTGGGGCCCCCCGGGCGCAGCGCTGACTGGGGGGGGCTGGGGCGGAGTCCCCCCCCCCAGTTTGGCGGAAAGTGAGTGATGAGTCTGTGTCCCTAGCAAAGAGGCAAAGAACTTGCTGTGCAGCCTGAGTAGTTGTTTCTTTCGATTCTTGTTGTGGCTTTTTTTCCTTTCCTTTCCTTTTCTTTTTAAATTGCGCTGCTCGGGGTGGGCTTGCCTGAGGGGAGGGGGGGTTGGTTGGTGGCTGCGGAGGAAAAACCAAACCCCCCCCCCCCACACACACACACTCCTCCTCCTCCTCCTCCCCCCCGAGAGCCAACGGAACAAAAACAAAAGAAACTTCGCCGGGCTCCGAAAGTGGCAGCAAAGTGCCTGGCAAGTTGCGGGGATGGAGCGACAGAGCTTGCAAGAGGCGTTAAAAGTGGAAATCCAGTGTCACCAGGTAACGCCGCGAGCCCGCGCGGCCGGCCCCGGGGTGCGCGAGCGGGCGGCTGCCCTGGGGGGGGGGGGGGGGGGAAGGGGAGGGGGGGCCGCGGGTGCGGGCGACCCGCAGGGAGCCAGCCTTGCAGGCTGAGCCAGGCGCGTTTGCTCCTTGTCGCAGGGTCTATCGATCAGGGGAGGGGGGCTGGGAGTGCGAGTGAAGAGGGGGGAGGCTGGAGCTGAGCCTGGGGGAGCCGGCGAGAGGCGCCCCCCCGCCGCCCCCCCCGGGATCCCCTTCGGAATATCGAACACTTTGCAAAAGTAGTTTGGGAGACTGTTCGGCCGAGTTGTGTGTGTGTGTGTTGTGGAGCATCGGAGTTAACATTGCGGTTGGTGCTTGTGTGTGTGTGTGTGTGTGTTGGAGAGATTAGGACGAGACTTGAATATTTATGAGCTTTGCTTGAAACTGACTCGCAGTGTTTACTTGCCTCTTTGTTCCTTACCCCCCTCCCTTCCCCTTCCCCACACACACACACACACACACACACACATTTTAAAAAAATCCATTAAACTTGGAACAGTTTCTAATTCCTCCTTTTTTGGGGTGGTTTTTTTTATAGAAACTAGTTGCACAGATGAAGCAAGATCCACAGGTAAATGCAGATCCTTTTTTCCTCTTCTTCAGTATTTTATCTCTGCTGTAATAAGCGCAGTTGTGCCGGGACAGCAGGATGAGAAACTTTATCAGTAAGAGATCTGATTTTGTAATCTTCACTGAGCTTTTTGACTAAAGAGGGTGTTTATGTGTGTGTGCATGCTTTTGTACGGCGTTGATGAAACGGATTTGCCTTTGAACAATGTCTTATCTCAAGTTTATTCATGACGGGTTAGTTTACACTTTGCCTTTAATATGCATTTTATTGCCATTTTTGCAGAACGGTGATCTTAAGAAACAAATCCATGAAAGGCAATCAAGAATAGCAGCTCTTAATGAAAAACAAGTAAGGAATAGATCGATTCAGTTCTGTTTCCCCCCCCATGCACTTTCTAAACATCCTAAAAGTGGCTGCGTTCGCTGAAAAATACCGAGAGCAGAGAATAAAATATCCATTTTCCTAAGTCTACAGTGAGAAAATGTATATTTTCAAAACGAGATCCGTTTCTTAGATCCCTTGCCTGGGGTGGGGGTTATAATAATAGTAAAAGGATAAGCAGTAGTTAAAACGTAAAAAAAAAAAATAATAAAAATGAGGCGTCCATTTTGAGTTGGTCGACATGTTTTAGGAATATGGAAAATTCTCCTGTCTTGGGCTACTTTGTGCACTTCCATGCAATGTGCTGAGCAAGAGAGTTGGGAACAAGGAGACTGGAGCCCAGGTCGGAGCCATTTCTGGTCTCAATTGCAAAACTGATTTTTATTGATCACTTTTTTTGCACTTGTCTTTCTCTTCCCTTGGTCTGATCTGACGTGTTAGCTTTGGATTTGAGTTCACTTAGGCACTTTCACTTTTTAAAAAAATAACCTGTTCCAGTTATAGGAAAATCTGAGGAGGGGAAACAAAACAAAATAGAAACCTTCCTCTCCCTCCCCCCCTCAGAAAACTTTTATTTTTTGTTTTGTTATGCACAAGTGACCTTGTGTATAGTGCAATGTTTGACACCTCCTCCGCTCCTAATCCTCTTTCAGGATGAAAGAAAGTTCTTTATTGTGACTTTGTTTGGGTTAGATCAGCTGATGGCGAGGAGCTGTGATTGTTAGGTTTCAGCACCACGATCAGATGCCATTGAACACTCCGCAACCCCATGTTTCCGCTGCGCTTTGCAAACGCTGCACACGCACACACACACACAACGACCCACTCCCTTGCCCCCCGCCCCTTCCACTTTCAGTACTTCTAATGCTTAAACGAAGCAGCGGCAGCAGCAGCTTGCAAAGCGAGTCCATGATCTGCCGGATTGAGTCACCATAGCAAATAACTTTCACCGTTCCACCTCCCCCCATCACAACTCCCCACCCCCCACTCTGCAGGATCATGCAGCTTTCCAAAAGCCCCTTTGGCAGCTAGATCCTGCTCCATCACCCCTCTCTTTCCCCCCGGCTGAATCGATCGCGATTCCTTCGGAATGCAGCAGCTCTTTCAGCACCAAAACTTGGAACAGCGCCTTTGGGGTTTTTTTTCCCCTCTCACAAAACAAAAAATCTTCCACCCTAGGAAAGAAACCTCGAGATTTGTAATATTCCTGGGGGAAAGAGAAGGAATTGTGTGTGTGTGTGTGTGGAGTTGTGGTTAAAGTTGAAAAGTGATCCGTGCATATTTAATATGTGCTCATAGAATGCATGCATGGATGGTGGTGATTATATGCAACCCTTTTCCGCCCAGTTTATTGTAATCAGAATTTGTCAGCACTCTCAATTTGGTAGTGGAAGCTTCCATTTTGTGAAGAAGGGGTGTTGGTTTCTTCCTAACATGGAGAAAAGTCTGCAGAGTTTGAAGGTGGGGGATGGGGCCCCATTCATGCTGAACATTACCATTTTGATTGCTTTGATGCCATTTTTGGAGGGGGAGGGGATAGACTACCCTATTCAGCCTAGCACAAAGATGTTTAATCACTGTATAGAATCAAATCAGATACTTTATTTTTTAAAGCAGATCTGACACTACATGATAGCTAAGGGCTGTTAGTCCTTTTATGCTGTGTAAAACAGCAAGTTGTTGACTCTAACACTACTAGGCTGAGCAGAGGATTTTTTTAAAACAAGGTAACAGCCTTTACTGCAACAATGCATCTTTATGTGTTCTTTCTTCAATGTGGAAATAGTTTTACTGGTTAAGTGGTATTTAGAACATACATTAGATCGTGTTTTGTGTATTGTAGCAACTATTTCAAGGCTGTTTAAATTTTTATGATGATAGTAAATGAGAAGCTATTTATTATGTGACATGCTGGAATTTAGATAAGGCAGAGAGAGATCTGAAAATACCATTTGAACATTCTGATGCAGCTGGGTGTAGAATATTGTCACCCATCTTACACAACATCTTCTTGGAATCCCAAACTAACTAGTAAACAAGGGTTACATGTTATCTTTTTAACTCCCACTACCCACCCTATTTTCTAAAAATCCCTGTAAAGTGCAAAGTAAATAAAAATAAAAGTCAGAAAACAGTAAATATTGGCCTAGTGATTTAAACTAGTATTTTTCTACAAAAGTCGACAGTATTATATTTCTTCTGCTTGTTTTGATGTTCTATGCAACAAGATAGATAGGGGCTAGGTGGTGATTTAGTATGCTCTTGCTCCAGACTGCCACCTCTGGAGGCCTGGTTTGAATCTTTCTTAGGTCACAAATGAAATGAGTTTGGAGGGCTCAGCCTTTGACCATGTCACAAAAGTATTATGTAACTTTGCAGATTTTGGTATGATTAGCAATTTCTCCTTAGAAAATGTCCATCACTGGATTATCAGATGCTACAGGGTATGATAGAGGTACCTTTAACATTAGTGTAATAGGTGTTTGTCCAATCATGGATCTGTTATTGATTTCAGCCTCTTGCTTGCATGAGTACAACGCCCTTCCCCCCTGCTGCTATACATTTAAATAAATCTTATGAAGCTTGGAGGGGCAGTAGTGATTGTTTCAACATATACTTTTGAAAACAGTGGGTTTTTAATTTCTTTTCAAACCTGTTGTAGATTTGTTTAGGAACAACTGATTTAGAACATGATAATTCTGGACTTTATTGTGCTTATACTAAATACAAAAGATATTAAGATTACATTTCAGTTAAAATGCACATGTGGATGATGAAATAGACAGTAAAATGAATAGATGATCACACTAACTACATCTGTTTAAAAATATAACAGTGGGGAGTAGTATCTTTCACTGCCCCAATCATCAGTTTCCCTTCTGAGCCATTGGAATTTATTGCAACATTTACTTTTTTTTTTTCCAATTAAAAATAAGAACACAGACAAAGTATCCAGATGGATTCAAGTGTTTGGGTATGGGTTCAAATGTGCAAAACATAGATTTATGCAAGAAATTGGATTTCAATTTACAACCAAATTAAATTCCTGTATAGTCATCCAGTATTTCTCTTACATTGTCAATGTACAGGAATATGGAATGAAATGTACTTTATAATATTTATTTGAAAATGTTGGGAAAATATTAAAGATGGGTTTTTTTTTAGTGTCACTTAAATCAATACTTAAATTTACCTCTTGCTCAGAAAGGCAAAGTTAGACTTTTCTTACATTAAGTCTACCTGCACATTTTGTACACTATAGTTTTGATGAATTGTAATACCATTTGAGAGTAGGGTACCTCTTCTTTAACAAGATATGATGTGTGAAGACTCCATTAGTTGGTCCAGTGGTTTTACACCTTGAATCCACATCACATGCAGAGCAGCAGTAACGTTTTTATCTAAATTGTCAAGCAATAAGAATTTTGATGTAAATAAAAGAGTAATCATAAGAACCAGGTTTGTTCTTTAAAAGCATGTTTGAGGTACTCTGCTACACATATTTTTGTGCGTTCTGTTTGGCCATGAAGTCAATATGCTGTTTTTAAAAAAAATTACTTCTTAATAACAACACTTAACTGATTAAAAACCAAAGCAAAAACCCAAATCACAAGTTAAACTGTTTCTGAGATCAGCATTGGGTGGTAAACCAGGTCTTGGAAAATTAACAGTAAGGATGTGTATGTAGACTGCTATATTTTTAACTGTGATGAACTCTGAATTCAAACAGCCTGTCCTGGAGCACAGCAATAAAAATATGTCTTCCTGAAAGACATAATGTGTATACCATTCACTTGTGCATTGCCTCATTTCTTTACCATAATTTACTATCTACATAGAAGATCAACATTAGTCTCAAAGAGGATGTCCCACGGTGGGGTTATTGCTGGTTTGTCTTTTTGTAGTGCATATCTGAAATTAAATCATTGACTGTATTTTGCCATTGGTGACCCCGTCAAAATATCTTCATGGGATGTGTTAGACTTTGTAAAATTAGTGTGTGCTTCTTAAGCACAGGGAGTTTGTTGGAGACTCTTTCGTTCAAGATGTTGGCTTTATGTATGTTCTGTCTGTCTTTCAGAGGGGTGTTTTTTGATATAGTGAAATCCAAGCTGTGCTATGCCTGAAAATGGCAGCATTGTTTACACATGTGAAAGGGGAAATTATTGACATTTGCTAAAGCTCAGTATTTCATATGGTTGGGTACTTTCAAAATTGTTGAAATAAAATAGAGGTTACAAGTGTCAATGAAAACAGAGATAAGACCTGAACGGGGTTTCCAAATTAAGTAGAACCAAGGTCAAATTCTGCCCACAGAAAGATAGACTCAGAGAGAGAGAGAGAACTCTAAACTTATTTTGGTGGCAGTAGGCTCTAAGGGCCCTATCGAATGCTCATTGAAGTGAATAGAGATTATTTTTTATTTACTTGTATTGAAGTAGCACCTAGGAGCCCTAGTCATAGACCAGGAGCCCACTGTGCTAGGTACTGCAAAAACAGAACAAAAAGACAGTCTCTGCTCCAATATTGCTGTTGGATCATGGTTTTGGGTCAGGCTCTAAATTGGTGATGAACCTTGAAGTGGAATTTTAAACTTTCCAATTACGCTTTGAGTCTTTAAAATGCAGACACAAGAAGTAATTTAAATGTGGGCTTGACTTTGCAGTCCTTCTGTACACAGAGCTTCTATTGACTTCACTGGCACTTCTGAACAAATGGAAAATCAAGTGAAGTTGTTGGATCTAAGTGAAGATTAGTTCTGGGCTGGTAATTTAGAAAGCTATAGTTCCTCATGTTTTCCTACAATCTGCTCGTAATTTATTGCTTGCTTTGCTATCTGAGTAAAAAATGACAAATTTACCATCCGCTCCTTGGAGAGGAAACTTGGGAATATAGTTTATATAAAGGCAATCCTAGCATTCTTCTTTATGCTTTCAATAAAGTTACATGAGATTAGGTGCCCATAT